CCTGCAAGTGCAGTCCTTTGTTTTTCGGGAGATGGGCAAGAAACAGGAGAGGACAAAAAAAGCTTTCCCCTTTCATAAAAAGGCAAGGAGCCGGAGGGAGGCAAGGCGCAGCACAGCCACAGCACGGGAACAGAGAGAAAGGCAACCCCTCTCTCTAAACAGCTTTCTCTACCTCTAAACTCACCAAAACACACACAGTTGCTTCCTTCTCTTAACAATTTTCTTTATGTGCTGCTAAACTCACCAAAACACTTACTTTTGGTCAGGGAAACTGTAATTTTCAGGAGTGCTTCTGCACAAGCAAGCCCATGGCTTACCAGCTCACCACAGAGCAGCACTGGGTGAGAGGCCAGTGCTATTAGGAGATCAAAACAGATTTCAGAAGCTGGAAAGATCCCCTTGCCATAAACAATACAGACTATAGTCATCCAAACAATTAGATAAGTGTCAAAGTTTACAGGGACATCAAAAGGATCAGCACAGCAAGAGAAGCAGCTGCTGAACTCAAAGCAAGGAACATGCAACATCAGCAGCAGGGAGGTTTAGGGAGTACAAAATAAAAAGCTTAAGTAGTTTCTTAATAGAATCAACACAGGGCAAAAGCATTTTCTACCAAAGTTTAAAAAAAAAAGACCACCAAATTAATCTTGGCATAAACCTATTTGCATTAGTTTACTTATAACTGGTCAGAAGTTTCTCATTCAGGATGCGGTTACACTTGTCCTTAACAGCTCTCAGACTAAGCCAAGCTAGGCCTACATCCCCACAGGAATTTCTCTATTTATGTCAGCAGAGATTCATCCAAGTAGCCCCTCTCCTCTTCTTTCCACTCCAAAGGGCCTTTCAAAGGATACAAGGGAGGTTGGTACCCTCCGCACAGAGGGGCCACCCAGGTTGTAAGAACAGCTGCCTACTGCCTCACAGTCAGCTGACTGCAGCAACCAAACTCAGCAGGTAACCCTTGTATAAATCTAATATTTGAGCTCAGGTTAGGCCTCATACACCAACCTCTACAGACAGAGTACTTTTTCATTAAATGTTTGCGCTTTCCTTCCATCAGACAGGCAAGAGCCCAGCCTTACCTTTCTTCCAGGTCCTACCCTGGAGCCCACTACCTCACCTAGCTGCCAGGAACTACCCTTGATACATACTAGCTCTATCCTGGAACACCTAAAGCATGAACTCACTTATCTCAAGGCCTCTGTTTATGCTCTATATCCACCCTTCTTTCTCTTCCTCTTGTACCTTTACTTGCTTTTGTAATTTCCTTCCTCCCTTGCATTTGATGTGGTTACATAACCCTTGTCAGCCCTCATCTCCTCCACCTGAAGAGGTGAGTGTTGGCACACCTGAGCCTTGACCCTCTTAAAGGCCCTTTACACCAAGACAATCATAGTGGGTATTTCCATGTAGCCAAACCCAAAGAAAACATTGTGTCTTGCATTTTCCAGAACAGGGATTGTACTGCAGAAGAACTAGTCAATGGACTGTGACTTTAGCGGAAATCTCTGGCAAAACTGAATACTGAACCTTGTTTGCAGATACCTCCCTAACACTTGTAACCACAAGAACAGCTTCGTTCTCAAGCAAATACTACTTCCTCTTTTTTTCAGCATTTCACAAACCTTAAGGTTCCTACTACAGCTGGAAAATAGAAACAACAGTGCTGTGACAATGCTGGGGTTAGTTTCACTTGATTTCTCAACAGCAATCTCATCCTGAGTTGTTTACATCACTCTGCCTTGGCCCTCAAGGTTACCTATTTGAAGAGGTTAATAGTCCCCTGTTGAAACAGTTTAATGAAATAAACCATGTGAACAGTAATCTCTTGCAGAGTGCTGCCTGGGTACTGGCACTAGCAGGCTGGCAAACAACTGTGTTTTTCTCAAAAATAAATTATCCCCCCCTCAACTAATCTTTTTCTCCTCAATAAGAAAGTACTGCCATAATCCTGCAATAAGCCTGGTCAGCAAGATTTACATGGCAGCTTTTCATGTGTATCAAACTCCTATCAGAACACTGCAAGTTCACTCGTGCCCTTACATGTTGTGATACCACTGGGACAGCTTCTCATGCAATCTCTCTTTGTTGCATTTATTTTCTAGTCTAATGAATGGTGAGCAGTTAGTACATATGAGATAATAACATACAAGCAAACTATTCCTGTGTGTTTTTTCAGGTAAGACCTTGTTTGTTGGCGGCCAACAGGAATTAATTGTAAAGAGAAGCTGAGAGGCAGACTGTTACACTGTTGTCTTCAGCATTTTACTTTAGTATTGTTGCCTGTAGTCAGCAAGACTGGGGCGCTGGTCAGGACGCCCAACCCAAGTGCTGTTAACATTGCTGGAAAGCCTGACTTTGATGTCTTTTTCTTACCTGTGATGTTTGTGTATATCAGACAATTCCATGGCAAACACTTGGGACTTGCTTCATAGGAGCACCTCCTGAGGCAATGGAGAGTCCTGCTCTTTTGGGACTGAATTTTCCTTCTATGGAAGGTACTACAGATATCTCTGCCCTACACATGTTAAACCCACTGAGTTCAGTGGGGCCGCCTGCATGTAGCAGCTTGCACAACTGGGCCTTAGTAGTAAGAGTGAAACCATTTAATTTGACAGTGGCCCCAGGGAGCCATTGCTTATTACTTTTCAGTTGTGTCCAGGACATTCTCCCTGCTTTCCAAGTAGTGAAGATGTCATACCACGCTCCCTGCCCAATGGTGTTTGTAAGGAACAATTTTCAGTCAGAGATGATTTGAGATGGCGCAGCATTTGTGTCCCAATGAGGAAAGCTCACGTTTCAACGTCAAGCCTATGACTAAATCACTCTCCCCTACTGTCAATTTAGTAATGATCAGTTACCAGTGCAATCTCCAGGCACAAGGCTATCCTTTCCTTTCCCTTCAATGACTTTCAGCCTTTCTTTATGAAGAAGTCAGGAAAAATCTGTTCTAGCTAAAATTGATTCTGCAAGGGGACAGAGGGGACAGAGTAGGCCACCACTCCGAGTGTTCACAGGTACTAGTTTTCTCTGAGAGCATCATGGAATACAACGTGTCCACCACACCACTCCCCTTGCCTTTGGAAATCATTGCTAAGTCTGAAAAGGTATCAGTGACACTTGAAAATTCAGAACAGTGTCTACAGCACAGGAGCGGGAATCCCAACTCCTTCATAGCTGAAGCTCATTGAGGTCAGCAAAACAGTGTGGTGAACTCCATCCAGAGCACCAAACAGGTCTGCAAGAGTCTTCCAGGCACATAATTACTCATGTACAAAGCCATGAGGCAACAACTGTTTCATAAATAGGTATGGGGGAAGAAAGTTTAAGATGCTTTGATTCTGCCTTCAGAGGAAATGTTCACCATGCAGAGGTTTTAGCAAAGTCTGTAAAATGTGTGAAATCTTGGAGTAGACCTGTTCCCTGACCTTCACAAGGAATACCTACAGGATGGTTATGTAAAATACATTGGCTCCCGGGAGCAGTGTTAACGAATGCTCTATTTTCAGTGATTTCTCCAAAAGCTGTCCCCAAATGTTTCTTCTCTAAACAGTTTACCAAATGAGCTGTCCTTCTGTTTCTCAAAAGCAGATTGAGCGACAGTTTTCATCAAATTTATGCACTTTCAGGAAGGAATTTAAAGGGACACCCAGCACAGGATCAGATCTAACAGGTCTTAGGAAGAAAGATGGGAGGAAAACAGGAGGAAGAAAGAAGTTGGTTTAGATGTGGCTGTAGTCCTTCCCTCATCACAGTAGCTAGCAGCTGGCACCACAGGTTTCACTCTTATCCCACAGGCCTGGGTACAGCAAAACTCATGGAATAGCTCAGTGCCACTGAACCAAATTCCATTGTGCAAGGAAAAGCCCTGCTCAGTGGTGTGACAGGGCAGTTCCTTCCTGTGAAAACATTGACTTTGCTCTTGCAGCAGCCAAGCAAGGCAATATCGCAGGGTGAGGGCGACGTTACCTCTCAGTAAAACCACATCTGAGAACCACTCTTTTTCAATTATCTGAAATGGAGAAATCATCAAGGGAAGAAACACAGGTATGCCTGCACCCCTTCCAGTGCTAAACCACAGCCATTTATGACTCTGACAGAGAACTAGAGTGAACATGAGCAGTTTTTGTTACTACCACAAAGATCACCATGCTAGGACTTAAGAGACAAAGTAGATGAAAGGTATTGGCACTATTACCTCCTGTAACTTTTTCTTGCAGTAGGCACAGAGGGGCAGCAAGGGTTAGTTGCTTAAGTCACAGCCATTTTGAGGTCTGAAGGTCTAACTTTCAACTGCTCTCTCCCTTGGCTGCTGTGAAGTAATGGGCATTTTTCTCTCACTACACCCAAGAGAGATAAAAGTTTTCCTAGTTGGATTTCACCCATCTCTCCTCTCAGAAGTACTTGCTATGCTTTGCCCAATGACTCATAACCAACATAGCTCCCTGCCCTGCCCCCTCCAACTATGTTAGAAAAGCTTCACAGCATAGACTGCTTCAGGACACCCCTTTCTGACACTACCTGTGGAGACCTGCATGGAAAGATCATCACATGTGCTACTTGAACTCTACCTACTTATAGTGACAGGTAAAGCCTGCTGTAGAAGTCAGGGTAAGTTGCCTGCCAGAACCATCTCCTAGCAGACACTTTTACTGTCCTCCCAAGCTGATGTGTTCTTCTGGGCACACCAGAGATCAGTTTCAGTTCTACAAAAATACCATTCCCCTCACAAAATAGTTTCTTTTTGTTCAGGTGATAGATGTCCTAATAGTTAGCTTCCCCCAGAACAGACATTCCCTATGAAGCACACCTTTGCATTGATCGGTCTCATGAAGAGCTGGCTGCAGTATTTTTTTTTGTTATAGATTCTATATTAAGCATATGGATGTAACATGAAATCCAAGCATAGCCAAGCATTTTACTGGTGTTGTCTCTAGACCCTGGAAATCTGACACAGCAATCTCAATCAGTGCTTTCAGATATTTACACAAACTGATTACTCCAACTAGCTCTGAAGTGATAATGTTTCTGGATTATTTCAGACCTGCTGTTCATTCAGTTTCACATGTTTTGGAAGTGACTAAACAGATCTTGAAAAATAAAGTCCTTTTATTGCTGAATAGGTGGGACTGCTTCCTGATTAACTGGGATGGCAAAATAGTATGCAGAAGGAGAACTAAGGTATCTGAATCAGGTAGATTCAGCTTCCACATACCGTTTAAGAAACAGCAGTGTCAAAACAAGCATACAGGTTCACACAAGCTTAGCCATTTCCTGGGTATTTTAAGAGAGTCGAGTCCCATGGCTTGTCATAAAATTCACATACTTGTTTCAGACAAATAAAAATCAAAGCTCTGTCAAAGATATTTTAAGAACAGCTGTCTGAATCCAATAGCATTTGTATGGTTATAACAATAAACTCAAAAAACACTTAAAACAAAGAATTTTAATATTTTCTCTATAACAAACAATTAATCAAATAGGCCAAATCCCATGTCATCATCAGATTCTTCAGATTCCTCCTTCTTTTCTTCTTTCTTCTCCTCAGCTGAAGGGAAAAAAAAAAGACGACCAAGCCAATGGTCAGTATTTACATTTTTGCACCAGATTTTCAAGATATACATTTTGGTATTCTCAGCTTCCATATCATTGGTATTTCAGCCTCCATGGTTCATCTCATTCCCTTTCAACAGCCAAATACAAACACTGAGGGGATACATACACTACTACTGAAGAGATGTGCTTTACACAGTGAAGTCTGTTAGATTCTCGATTCTAAGACAGACCAATCTTAAGGCAGATAAAGAGCAAATGCTTCTGATTGCCCAAAGGAAAAGTAACTGTTCAGTTTACACTTCAATCACACAGTGAACTACCAAAGCGGAAAAGCCTTGAAATTTGGACTCAAGTCCAGAGAAAAACAGAGCTGCCCTGTAACAGCCTCTCTACCCATACTCACCGGCAGCAGGGGCAGCAGCAGCCGCAGGAGCAGCAGAGACTGCCACAGCTCCCCCAGCTGGCATGCTGGCAAGTTTTCCATTACCTGAGTGGGACAGAAGAGAAAATATTCAAATGCTCATTGCAAGCACAGAGGTAAGGTGAAAAAGAAGAGAAATGAGAGTGTAGAGAAACAAGTACTATGTCTCATGGATTGAACCTGTCACTATTAGCTGAAAGGAACAAAAGGCTGCACCCATGATAAGAAAGTATAAACTATTCTGTCAAAAATAAAATCAAGAGTTTAAGATTCAAAGGCTTATTATCCTGAGAACACTTGACAGCACATTAGTAAGTTTTCTTCTGTATACAAAGTCCCCCTCCCCTTTTTTTTTCCCCACAAAACGGTCATTAAAAACAGTGGCAAACATGTCCAATTTTACATGTACAGAAAAAAACATGCTTTCTGAATACAGTGGAATAGCCCAGAAACTGGTAATTTCAACATACCTCAAAAATAACATATAGGCAGCAATGGCTTCCCCCACCCCCCCCGGCCTTTTTTATTAAGGTTATAGAGAACTCTCAGGGCATGACTGGATCACACTTACAGGAGAAAAGTGGGTGGGGGAAAAGATGTATTTATGGCAAAGAGTACAGTATTTTAAACAAATTCTCCAGCACCCTATGAACCCTATTGCATCTCCTTTGAGATTAGCAAACTGACTTCTGATTTATGCTTGTCTTTGGAAAGCTAGTTAGTTCTCTGGCATCTGCCTTTCACATACCAAGGCTCCCTTGGCATTCAGAGGTCGCGTACACACTATGTTTGCCTGTATTCCAATTTCTGGGAATCAATTTCTAAATAATTCCCTGTTACTTCAAGCTCTAATAAACTAGCCAAGTAAACAAACATGTTTCATATGCATGTCAGTATGTTCTAGGAAAAATTTTATTTAAAAAGTATTACAGAAAGAGATAGCATAAGTGTGTCATAAGCACATGCATAAATGGCTCCCTTAGGTCTTCAGACCACACGGATAGAAATGTCCAGTTGCTGCTTGTAACAGCAAGGCCAGGCAAAGTCCCGGCAACCTTTAAGCAAATATATGCCTAAAAGTTGCCTTGTGCCTAGGCATTTCCAAAACAAGAAAATAAATTAATTAATCAGAAACCTTTGCACTACCTCAGTCCTATGACCCAGCCAATTAATGTTAAAAGTTCCAGCTTTGGTAAGTGCCAGCAGGTTAAGAGCACAAGCTTCTGCAGAAGTCAGCACCACTCAGAGTCCTATCTTAGAGAAAAGGAAATGCTGGACCTGGGAAGTTCTAGAAGAAATGTGTACTGGAGAGGCTTGTATTAATCGCAGAGGATGTAACTGTATCCTTAATGTGAACTGACACTTATTTTTATTTAACAGTCCGTTCTTCCTGTTTTACATAATTAGCGCATACAAGTGGGTAAACGCAAAGAAAATATCTCCCAGAGAACTTGAAGGACAGCTAATCTGATCAACATGTCCAGAAAACTATGTTATGAGCAGACTACCAGTAAGCTCATATGTGCTTAAGTTTTCCAGTTTAGTGTGGTCCACAAGCGAAACCCAGCAGGTACTGGCAGCGACCTGCAGGGAATTAGAATGGACCTGGATTTCAGTCATTTCAGCCTACAACGAGCACAGAAGTCCTCAACTGCAAAGCTAAACTGATGAATAATCAGGGAGTTGGCAGCAGTTCTACACTCTCAGGTCTAAGTTACCGAAATAGTGGAGGTAATTATCTGTGACACTCAGAGACTGTACTTACCCTGAGCAATGACATCCTCAATGTTTTTTCCATTCAGCTCACTAATAACCTGTGTAAATTAAGTTTAGAATGTTAATAGTTTCAAAACAGCATGAGTATAAGCTACATTTAAACAAGTACTGATTAACCATCATATGCAATGCCTCCATCCTGCTGCTTACACAGCCCCAACATTTCTTATTTCTCAGTGGAAGGAACAGGACATTAAAATTAAAATTTCAGCTAAGTCTTTCATACTTTTCTGTGAAAGCTTTTTCATGAAATCTGTTACAATAAATTCATAATGAATCCAAGGACCTTGCAGAAAGAAAGATAGACAGATGTTGTGGAGCCAATTAGGAAACCCCACTAATGGTCTGTTAGTCACTGAGGGACTGTTAACATGTCTTGCTTAATACCCACTGGAAGGCTCTGAAGCACTGGGCCCTAGACCAAAAGCCACAGGGTCCTGTTCCTAGCATTACCAAATGTTACAGCTGAGCTGGCTGTTGTATCCTTGCACTGGAACAGAAAGTCCCAACTTCGGTTTTACTACCATTGTTGTATTACCAGGGATGAGGAAAGCAAAACACAAACCCAAAAATTGCTAAAGCAAGTAAGCAATTTAATAATAATAAAACACCCAAAACAAAACAAAAAAAACCCCACACACCAACAACCCACCCCAAAAAACAGACGTGGTCTCACAGACTGGTGAGTCCCTGATACCAGGGGTCAAAGGACTTTAACCAAGAGCTTTTCACCAGGCACCTCCTGCTCACACAGAGGCCATGCAATCTGTGAAATGCTGTGCCTGTGTGCTGGCTTCATCCAGAAGGAAGATGTTTTTAAGACTTCACTAGATTTACACTGGCGTGTGCAACAGCCAGTTGCAAATAGAAAAGGATTAATTAATTATGACAAAAGCTTCTCTGGAATTTGCTTTGCAGATCAATATTGAAGGATCAGAGAAAACAACTAACTTATGAAGGTATTTAAACAACTGTAAACAAGCCAAAGCCAAAACATCTGGCATTTAAACAGGAACATCACGAGTTCAAACCAACATCCCAAACCGTAACAAGGATGCTGTCAGCTTAGTCAACCCATTGTTTGGTTGTGCCTATAGTAAAACACCGTCTCCATCTGGGAATGTAAATTGTTTTTTCCTCCACCTCTCTGGAAACACTCCACATACAAGTATGAAGGAGGTGTTAAGACTGTTTTTTGGTTCTTTTCTTTGCCCGTGGCCATTTATTTTAAAGTCCACACGGCTGAAAGTCTATTATATCACAAGACACATTCTAATTAAGATACTCTCGTCTTAAAAAGCCTTTCAACACAACCATTTCAACATTCATTTCCAAAATCTTCCTACATCTTACTGAATACCTTTAATGTCCATGTTATAACTTGCCTATGCTTCCTGGTGAAGGAATAGATGTTTCTTTTCAGTATACTAAGTAAGAATTTATTACTGAATATGAGGCCTTCAAAAGTGTTAGCTTTGAATCAATACTGACCAAAAGCCAAAGTTAAACGTTAAGTGTAAAGCATACACTATGTCAAAACAGAACTTATTTTCAACACATACTTATCTGTAGCCACCATCCCATTGAAAATTATTAGATCGAAATGTCAGAAGGCAGCAACAACTGACAGATATCTTTGCAGAGGACAGGTGTTCAATAAGGCAGCAAAACTTCTACAAAAACATTGTAAAAATAGTTCTGATTGGTTAAGCAGTGTTTTAGAAGTCACACATGTAACAATCAGCGAACATCTGAACAAAATAAGACTACATCAACAGCAAGGCAACTAAAGAAACAATGAAGCCAAGGAAACAGCTCTGATGCTGAGTGGGACGTGACCATCTGGAACTAATAGGCAATACTACCTTGTTCATGCGTTCATCATCCGCCTCAATGCCAACACTGTCGAGGATCTTTTTCAAGTCCTTTGACGTGGGAGACTCGTTGCCACCGAGGACCGCTAGAAGGTAAGCTGCAACGTAACGCATCCTGGAAAACAAAAGAATTGGATCTTCAGTGCTAATGATCTAGTTACATGTTCGCAGAAAGTTCATCTCCTCGCTGGGGGAAGCAAAGCTCACCCTCCCGGCTACAACTGTTTTGCTCTACTTTTAAATGAAAACCCACGACACGCGAGGCTGCGTACTGGTCTTCTGCCAGCACAGGGCCCCGCACAAGGCTACCCGACACCGCAATGCCGCAGCGTCTGCCGGGGGCCCAAGCAGCCGGCCCGGCCTAACACTGCCAGCCCCACACACCTCTTATGAAGGAAAACGCCACCACGGCCTCCCAAACAGCTCTTCGCCCCCCGGACGGCATCTCCGCCCTGACTCCCCGCGGCGTTCCCCTAAGCCTGCCCCATCCCTCCACAGGCCCTGGCCCAGGCCCAGGCTGTGAGAGCACATGGCCGCCATTTCCTCCTACTCTCCCGCCCCAAGTGGTCTCGCCCGAGCCCTGCTAGCGGCCGCGGGCTGAAGCGGGTGGGCTGGGAGAGACTATTCTC